TATATATATCTAAGTTACATAAACATATTAATCTCAAGTATTTATTTATTTGTATGATGATCAAAACAGATCATTATAATTATTATTGGACTGATTCTAATAACTTTACTTATTTTAGTAATAATTAAATTAATAAAAAAAAAAAACTAGTAACATTTATTTGAATGCATGAAAAAATTTGTATTTTATGGAAACATGCTATTTAGTATTTAGTTGTAAAGTGGTAAGGACATTTGGTCAAATATAAAAGTGGGAGAGCTTAATAAATGAGGAGAAAAATTGTTAGTATGCAGAGACAGTACAGACTGGTGGGCTGTCTTCCCGCCATTAAAACCACTCTGCTCTTTCCACCACACCATTCATTTCTGTCACTGTTTCCTTCTCTCTCCTTTCATTTTTCTTTTGGATTCTTCTCCTCTCTTCTATAAATAGACAGAATAATATGTGTAATTGTTGTGTATGTGTTTAGGCTAGGGTTTAAAAAATAATACTAAAAAAAAAAAAGAAAATCAACATCAAGCAGTTGACATATGCAATAGGCAGAGAGGCTTCTCAACTCATAAATAACATCATCATCATCCATCAGAGTAGAGAGAGAGAGAAGGTAGTAAGTAGCTAAGAAAAAAGAAAATGGTGAGAGACATGATGGGCACATACTCATCATCAGGAGACATGAATGAGAAACCTGCATGGCTAGAGAGGTTGATGGCTGAGACATTCTTTGGTGGTTGTGGGGTCCACGAGGATCGCAGGAAGAACGAGAAGAACGTCTTTTGCTTGCACTGTTGCCTTAGCATCTGCCCCCACTGCCTCTCTTCTCACCGTTCTCACCCTCTCCTCCAGGTACTATATGCTATGCACAATTCCATCCAAAGCTCACATTTTTACTCATGCCCTCTTCTCAAATCTCAAAAGGGCATGTCAAAATTCAATTCACATGTTTCCTTGCACCTTCTTTTTGGCTACTTCAATTGTTTTTTGGGTATTTCCAAACCACCTGGACTTTTCATTGTTCCTACCTAGCTACTTTCTCCTTTTTCTAGAGCTTGCTTTCGCTGCTTATTCTTTCTTTACTCTTTCCTATTTTTGGATTTTCTTTTGCTTTTCAACTTTTTCAATTCAGATGCAGCTCAGCTTGCTGGATCTCTCAGGATTTCTATCAAAATTCTCTTTTTCAAGATCACTCTCTTGTCACCTTATTTCTTTGTGTTTTCTCTCACATGCAACTTTGGAGGACATGTTTGTACACACCTAGCAGCTTCTAGTCTTCTTTTCTTCCTTTTTTTCTTTGAACAGCGCTGAAGTTGGTTCAATCAGCTGCTCATTTCAGATTACCAATTTCCCATGAAATATGTCCCTATGGGCTATGTATTTTCTTCTTCTTCACATAGTTGATACCTGTCAACACTGAAATCCCTTTTCAGGAATCTTGTAACAATGATCTGAGAAAAAAAAAAAAAGAGTGAGCTTAAATTTTCTTTCCCACAGATGAGGGGTATGAAGGAGTCGTACTAAAAAAAATATCAAATTGATGAAATTGTTAGTTTAACCTTGTTCATGCAATTTCTCTTTTGAAAGTCTTCCAAAATTTGGTCAATGGGGTTTCAGGGTTCTTCCTGCTAGATTCTTTTCCCTATTTTCACAAGTTAAAAACAAATAATTGAGTTTTGTTTTGTAAACTTAAAGAAGCCTAGGCTTGTGTATGGTTGAGTAATTGCCTGGTTGAACTCACCAATATTGTCTCATTGTATTTGGTGTTTCTCCATATCTATGTTTATGCATATTTATATATGGTTTCCGAAAGGGTTCACCATGTCTTCCTTGATTCCCCTTTTTTGTTTTGGTTTCTTTCCCATTAATGGAAGATCTCTTTTTTATCCATTTCTCCCTGCAAAGGTTTATCAGCTGTTCCTTTCATTGAAAGCGAAAAGTTTGACCCACTGCTTCCCAATCCATGCTATGTCCTTTTATTTAATTATTTGCACAGGAACCCACCACTTCTCCTAAATTATTCCCCACTTCACACTTCATTTAATTTCCCTAACCCCCCTTGAATTGATGGAAGCTTTACACCACCAAGGTTGGTTTGGTTGCCTACCTCTTCTTACAATAAGACTCATTTAACTCCCCACAATTTACCCTTCTCCTCCCAAAAAATATCACATTTCATTAATTGTGCTATTAACTGATGACAGTTATGTTTACCCCCCTCAGAAAAAAAAAGGATGAGACTAGAAACTTGAGCTTACTTTGTTGATACATATATGGAAAGAAGTAGCTTTTTTTCTTTCTTTCTTTCTTCTTAATTTTAATTTTTACTTGTTCAAGTTATACTAACCTCATTTCTTATACCATCTCATCACACACAGGTGCGAAGGTATGTTTACCACGACGTGATTCGATTAGATGATCTGGAAAAACTCATTGATTGTTCCAATATTCAGGTCAGACAAAATTCTGCCCAGGAACACCATGAAAATTTTTGCAGATTTTACACATATTTGAGTTGTCCAATATGTTTTAATTATTTAATTTTCATCGAGAAAGTAAATGGTAGTATTAAATTAGTATGGTAATAATTCCAGGTTATAATAACTAGATCGGAAAAATGATAATTTATTTTCATAGTTATGAGACTGAAATGGACATTCCTTGTTTGTATTGGATACATGGCAGCCCTATACTATAAACAGCGCCAAGGTAATATTCTTAAATCAGAGGCCACAATCAAGGACATGCAAAGGTCCTGCCAACGCTTGCTTCACTTGTGACAGGATTCTTCAGGAGCCATTTCATTTCTGCTCTCTATCATGCAAGGTTTTTTCTCTCATTTCTCAGTCTTTATCTTTGTTGTTTTGGTCTTAATTAATTTACAGGTCAATATATAATTAAGTAATACTTTTTTTGACAACATTGATTTTGGTGAAATGTTTCGGTACTAATCATGCTAAGTTTAAAGGTTAATAATACGTAGGTTTTATGAGGGAATCTATAAGTGTTTTAAGGGTTCAAATCTTACATTCTCTCTTTGTCCTCTATTTTGTTTCACAGTTAATATCAATTATTAGTAGTTGACAGTTTTATGGTAAAAAGGAAACACAAGTTTAATTCTATTTGTTGAGTGCTAACAATTTAGAATATTGTCTTTGGGAAATGAAAAGGATATTTCATTTTAATTTTTTCTTGGCAAAGAAACATCAATTGGGGGGACATGGATCATTTGATGTGAAGGAAAAAAAGTATGAAAGAGAAAAAAATATAGTAGAAAACTATTGACAGGATATAATGTATATGAAATTTGCAAGTTTACTTATTTGGGTAGATGAAGTTACCCTATTCGTTATTGGTATTTATGAAACTGATAAATAAAAGTATTTTCTTTCCAAATATTCAGCTCACTTTTTAGGTATTTTATTTTGCTGGTATTAATTAGAAAAAGGATTTTGATTTTCTCGCACTCGCATTTCCTTACTTCTGTATTGCTTCTTTTTATTACTTTATTTTTTTTTATTACTACATCATCATCATCATTAGATACATTTTTCATTTTCCTTCCCTTTTTCCTTTTTTTCCTTCCTCACTTTTCTCACACTGCATCACCAACATTATTAGGGTATTCAAAACTGAAATAACCTAAATAAAATATTGCAAACTAATTAAAAAACTGAAAAATGATAAAAAAATAATTTATAATGGTTTGGTTTGATTTTTAAAATTTTAAAATCATGTGATTTGGTTTGATTATTTTATTTGTAAATATTTTCTTACCAAATGCATTATATATGTATTCTAAATTGAGATATAACATAAAAGATGTTTTATAAAATTATAAATTAAAAGATATTTTTCTCTTCAAATATTTTATAATATTTAAAAGTATTTTATAAAACTGTAAGTATTAAATTGAATTTTAGAATAAAAATTAGTTCGAAAATGCTTTTTTACATGATAAATTATATATGTGAAAAAAATTAATATGATATTTAAAATTGTATTAAAGAAATATTTACTTAAATAAACTAATAGAATAAAAAGTATTAAATACATTAATTAACCAAAATATTTTAATATTTGTATATTTTTTAATTTCATTTTTGATGTGTAATCTTAAATAAATAAAATGGTATTATATATTTTTAATTAGTTTTTAAATAAAAAATAAAAAATTACAAAATTTGAATCAAATCAAATTTCAAAAAATTGATTTAATTTGATTTAAATTTTATTTCATTCAAATTGGAATGCACTTAAATTTTTTGATTAGATTCAAATGACTTTTATGACAAAAATCAAATTAACCTACACCACCAACATCCCTGAACATTACCCTTAGAAGAAAACGAGGTAATTTAAGCTCCCCTATGCAAGACTAAATTATGCTTCATTTGATGTTTTTATAAAGTTTAATTACTTAATGTAATTCATTAATATATAAAAAATAATTAACTTAATTTATATTTTTATGAAATTATTTTTAAGATTAATTAATGATACTTTTATTCTATTAATTACTTCTTAAATAAAAAAAATTAATTAAAATGTATTTTTTGAATAGATTTAATCAATACTTTTTTCTTTCTAGTTAATGTAATTTTACATCAATATTTTTTAATTTAATTATTTTTTTACATAAATGAAATAGTTTTTTTAATCCAAAAATCAAATGAGGAAAATATACTAAAATTATGTTATCTAATAGTGATATTGTATTATATTATATTAGCCTTCGTGGAAACTTGATGTAGCATTTATCTAATAAAATTAGACTATTAATATATGATTAAAAAATTATATTTTAGTGACACATTTATCGCGATATATACTCTATAATTATACAATACTATAATTAAAAATTATTTTTATTTATATTATAAGTATAATATATATTAATATATTATTAAAAAATATAAGTATAAATTATAGTAACACAATATATTGAATATTATTCAAATTTCACATTAAAGCTATATGAATATATATATATATATATATATATATATATATATATATATATATATATATATATATATATATATATATATATATATATATATATATATATATATATATATATATATATATATATATATATATATATATATATATATATATATATATATATATATATATATATATATATATATATATATATATATATATATATATATATATATATATATATATATATATATATATATATATATATATATATATATATATATATATATATATATATATATATATATATATATATATATATATATATATATATATATATATATATATATATATATATATATATATATATATATATATATATATATATATATATATATATATATATATATATATATATATATATATATATATATATATATATATATATATATATATATATATATATTCAATAAAATTATTTTTACATATATTTGTAAATATATATTACTATATAATATTTTTTTAAAAGATAAATGTTGTTAATTTATACTAATTTAAACTATTAATATAAATGTTATCGGTCTATATTAATATAATATAGTGTAGATATACTCATATTAAGTAATAATGTTATAATATATTAATAAAAATATATTTTTATAGAGGATTAATATATATCTGATCGGTATGTCAAGAGTTGGTATAATTTTAAAATATTATATTAATTTTTTTTTGTTTAATTAGTAAATGAATCATTTTTTAGTAAAATAATAAAGCCCGCCGTTATCATAAAAAAAAAAAAAAAATAAAGCCCGCCGTACCTGGTGCAAAATATATATATCCTTAATTAGTAGCTGAAGTTCATCCAATATTGAACTAATTTCATATAACTACTTTGAACATTATTTTTCATATAATTTACTTTAATTAATAAGGTGTATCATAATCCATACATCAATCACAATTCTTTATAACGTCAATACGGATCCTAGGATTGATTAACCAATGAACAAAAGAAGAAAAAAAAGAACACTTGACTCTACTCTATAACAATAACCCATGTGTAATAAGTTCCAAGACCTTTTTCCCATCCCTGATAACATTATGAAAAATCATTTTGTGTCCAAACCCAAACAAAGCATAACACTATCCTAAAATCCTAGCCCTACCTCTCTAGTCCTATGCTTGCCTCCAATATAGCTTGCATGTTGCAGAAAGTGTTTCTCAGCTATCTTCTGACAGAGAAATGTCAAACCATTAGTATATAACATTACATGCATGTCAATACACGATTATAAAACACTATATGACATTTAAATTCATCATTTAATCATCCAAGCACATGATTGAAATAACTTATTTATGACTTACTTTGTTCATATTCATAATAAAAGTAAAGTGAAACTTAAAAAATAACATAATACATATATAGAAAGGAAGGATTTAATGATTATATACTTTTTTTATATGGTAAACTAATCAAAAATTAATGTTATTATAATTTAAAGTAATCATAAAAATTAATAAATTTATCATATATGATGAATTATGATTAGATAACGATATAAAATTATTATTTTTTAGATTAAATTTTTATTTAAAAAATGTTTACGTATTTTAAGTAATATTAATTACTTTTATATATTAATTTAAAAATTATTATTCATATTTCATGATTGTTCTTATTTCACATATTTCAAAATGTTTCTTAAAATGTGTGCAAAAATTTTAAATATCTGAATTTATGTTCTGAATGAAACACTTTACACTGATAGTGCATAACTTTTTTCTTCTCGGGAATGTTGATGGTATTTTTTCAAAAAAAAAATTTTTGATTGGTTAAAATTTATTGAAATTACAAATTTTGTGGACCTCACATTTCATCTTCATTTAATGAATCTCTTATTAAAAATTTATAAACTAATTAAAAATAAAAGAATAATATTGGAAATGTGTTTAGTATTTCTCCTACATATTATAATTTCTTGAATGTGTGTGTATTTAAGGTATTATTAGATAAAATGTTTGTTTGATGTAAGTACAAAAAAGTGCAGGTGGATTACATGGTGTATGGGGGTCAAAGCTTGTCGAGCATTTTGCATCGATTTGATGAATCTGATTTTGCAATTTCGCAATTCGAGGGCCTAAGAGTGGATGGGTCAGAGGTAACCGATGAAGATACCCAAATTGCCCCTAGCTCTTCTTACTCCAACACTGAGGCCACCAGCAATTCGGTAATTTCACGTGAACCAAATAGCAGCGTGAAGAAGGGCAAGACCAATAGGTTCCTCCCTGGTATCGTCCTATCTCTTGGCAGCAGAAGAAAGGGTGCCCCTCACAGGGCTCCTCTCTCCTAGATCCATCCATATCATTATTATTATTATTATTATTATTATTATTATTATTATTATTATTATTATTATTATTATTATTATAATAATAATAAAAATGCTATATTTTAATTAATTATTAATGTTGTTAATTATGGTCAAAATAAAAATATTTTAGTTTTAATTATTATTTATGTCATATATGTGTATGAGAAAAAACTATGTGTTTTCCTTTTAGGTCTTATTTAAGGGTTTGGTTAGTTTTAAGATTGGCTCTTTTATGATGGAGTTATGATATGCATAGTTAGGATTTTTCCATTGGCGTCTTGGGCGGTTCTTCTAACCACCGATTTTGTATTGGATGCTATGGAAATTTGGCCTATGCATTGTTTCTGACATGTGTTGTTGTGTAAATGGAAAATACAATTTTCCCCTTATCTTTTATGCTGTGTTTAGTTTCCAGTCTTGGAATTTGGATCAAATTATAAGAGATAAGCTTTTGCTCAATTTTATTATTCATGTTTAAATATATTTTTTATTATTATTTACAATGCTTAAAACTAGATCCTACCTATATACTTGAGTGGGTGACTTAACTTGTAAAGAAATCCTATTGCATCTATAAGGTAAAAGGATGTTTAGAAGGAATTGATGTAGTGTATGTGTGTTCTAAATTTGATTTTTTTTTTTGGTGAAATTAATCTTAAATTATTGAATATAATTGAAATGCAAATATGTTTGAATTGATTTTATTCACATATTTTATAATAATATATGTATGAAACTGAATTTGCTCGTGAAGTAAACATGCCTATGAGATAATCACAACAAAATGTTTTTTTTTTCTTTGACAAACAAACAAAACTTTGTTTTAACTTATACATAAAATAACTTTTATGAAAACAATATTTTTGGGGAAGAGTTATTTTAGAATAGGATCTCAGGCTCGAACGTTCTAGGTCACAGTTACATACCTCTACCTTTTTGTTATTTTACCTCGTGATTCCTAGAAAAAAGACAATAATAATATAAAAAAGAAGCCGTAAAACTAAATCCTCAAGACCAAAAGATTGACCTATAGAAGTGTTAAAAAACACCTAAATAAATGATAGATCAAACTCAAGTATATAAAAATGTTAGATGATGTTTTATCCTAATGAAATAATTCATATTTCTTTCATAAACATCTCTGGAATGTTCTTCACAATTACTTGTGCACTAACAGACCCTCCCGAAGTTCACTTCATATTTCATAGACTAAACTATTATGTTACAAGTATTTTATATTTAAACAATTTTTTTTTACAAGATTCAATTTACATAATACAAAGATCATCTTAAATTTAAGTTTCGTATTTTATATAACACGCCATACTCTGAATAAAAAATTACTTTTACATCATTAACTTTTATTTGTTAAGAATCAAATTAAAAAAAAACAGTAAATCACTATCATAATAAATATATATAATAGAATTATAAATAAAAGAAATAATTTTTTTAATGAATTTTTTTACTATTTTTAATTATATAATGTTATTAATTTATCATTGTTTTTAACTATGATAAAAATTAATTAATATTTTAAAATATTCATATTATTTAATTTTTTTATATAATTTAATTAAAATATTTTAATTTCGTACAAAATTAAGTACGAGTAAACAAATATTTAAAAAATATGAATATCTTAAGGATTGTATAAAATTTTTATCATTGGAATAAAGATATAATAAATGTCTTATTTTTGCTTAGAAGTGATGAAACAATGTGGGATTTAGTAAAGGAAAATATTTAAGATACATCGTTAAATATCACTTGTATTGTAATTGTTTAATTATTTTATATGACTTCCATATTCCCACTTTTTTTCTTATTATATAATAACTATCATCTTAGCTTATTTTAAATAAATATAAACAATTAATAAATATATGAAATAAAGTAGTAATTTTATAAATTTAATTTTATGATTAACCATTTTCTATAAAAAAAATTAGGATATAAATAAAAAAGAATTAATTAATACTATATTAAAAACTAACATGACACTTAATTTGCGTCTTATTTTTCATTCTAACACAATACTTATTATGAGATAGGGGGATTACTATCTACTCCCTCCATTCTATTTTGTTGGACATTTAAAGTTTTGACAAAGCTTAAAAAATGTAATTAATGTGCTTGATTTTACAAAATAAATTATCTAACTTTCCGATATACACTTAAACATTTGAATTCATGTCTACTAATAATAAGTAAAGAATATATTAATAATGATTAAGTTTCTAATGAAAAAAAAACATATTTAATATTACATTGACATTAAAGAACAATAATCAAATTGAAATCGATAAAAATGCAAAAACATAAATAAAGAAAAAAAATGAATCGGGTGGAGTATTATTTATAGCTTTAAGATTGAAAGGCCATTGAAGAGGCGTATTATATGAGTTAGTTATGAACATTCATTATTCATTAAGATGTTGAACTTGTGAAATAACTGTTCAATTTGTGCTTCTCCTCAAGTGACAAGAGTTGGTTTTCAAGTGCATAGTCCTATGCATAGAGATGAAAGTAGGTTTGGGTAGTCGTAAGAAATGTATGGCTTGATCTATTAGGCTTAGGTTAAGTTTTGGGGCATGAAGAAAATCTTAGACCTAACAAGTCACTTTATTTAAATAAAACAAATCACGTAATAGAGACAATTAAAAAACCCTTGAATGTTCTAGCCTTTTAGGTATACATTTATATTGGTGAAGAGTATATAAAGAAATAAAAGAAAATGAGAAAAATGAAATGAATGAATGAAGCTTTTAATGGAGACGTGTTGGTATGGTGCATGGAGGATTGAGTGCAAGGTATGTGTAGAAGAATCTTCTCGAGAGAGAAATATAGAATAGAAAAAAGTACTAATGAATAAGAAGATTTAAATTCCTTCATGCTAGGATCGTACGTACATATGCTAGGTAGTTATGCACTTATGCTATAACGTCATAACAATTCCACCTAGCTTTTACTCATCTTATGAAATTTACTGTGCAATGCTATAGTAGGGTATTATTCATGACCAAGTAATAGAACCGCAACATGCACATTATTTAATATATATGACATTATTTTATATGTATCAAAAAATGACATGTTTCCTCTTTTGCATGCATGTAATTTACTAACCGATCACCATAAAGATGGTAACTTTAAAATAATCATTTATAGTTAACTTTGATTATTTAAGTTTACACATTGGTTTTTCATATTAAAATAAAAATATTATGTCATAAATTTAATTTTTCAACAATCACTATTTTTCATTTTAGTTCCTACTTAAAAAAAATTCTAATTTTAACCTCTAAATCAAAAACTATTTACAAAACGATACTAATTGTCCATTAAAATTATAACGGTGTCATATTTTTTTTATATAGACAAAAAAAAAGGTCAAGTGTACGTAGGGATTAAAAATATAGTTATTTTTTTAACGACCAAATGCGGTGTTAAATTATTTCATGTAGGGATCAAAATGTTAAAAAAAAACATATACGGACTAAAACAATAATTAATGTGTCAAAAGTTAAACTGAATAGAAATAATAGTATTCATGTTATTTATTTTAACGCACTACATAAAATGTCATATACTAAAAAAAAATTGTTAGCATATGTTAGTTGATGATTTTTTTCCCTCCATAATTAAATTATTAAAAAGTTTAATTGGAGAAGATTGATTATGCAACTGTCATTGAATGACACAACACAGGGAGATTGTGTGTAGCCCGATCTTGTATGGATTTTGGGGTGGGATTTATATTAAAATGAAACTATTGTGTAAGCTACATTCTAGAAAACCTTGTGCTAGGCTTAGCTTTCAATTATTCAATAGGCACTACAATGAAAAATTAAATTGTAGTATCAGACCAAAACTGTTACTACAAGTTATAAATTTGTAAGTATATGTTAATTAGATATTATTGTCTAAAAGACATATAACGACAATTTTTTGACTATCATATAAGAATTTTAGTTGTTACTATAATCTTTAAGTATCACTATATAATGTTTTAATTATCACTATAACCTTATTTGTAATTTAGTTCAACATGTCTTTAGGTAAAAGTTATTGACTTGTAACTATGATTCCTAGTCATAAAAGTATATATTAATAATAAATAAATAAATCTTATATTAGGGTAATCATTTTTTAATTAATTATATTTTTTTTAATTTTTAATACATTTTAATATTATTATTAATGTATTTTACTTTTAATGAAATTTAATATCATTTTAATTTAATTTAAATTTAAACCTTGTTCTATATAATTAACTATTTGGAATACATAACAATGTGTTACATCATAGTACAAACTGTATTATATATATAAACATTTATACTTCTAATCAAATCAAACATTCCCTCCAAATACAAGGATTGACTAATCCAAATTCACAAAGAGAAGAGGTATTTAATTAAAAATATAAGGGTCAACAAATTATATTGTGCACACAAGCAAATGAAATTCCGATAAATGAAAATTATTACAACAATAATTACATTGACCACAAATAAAAAAAAAAAAAAAACTAGACCAAAATTAAGAGAAAGTTGAATTACTCTCAATTAGAAAGAAACTTCATCACCATTTCCTTTTCCTGTAAACAAATTTAAAATATAAATCAATAATGTGTGAAACCAATAAAAGAAACAAATAATGAATATTTATATCACCATAGAAACCAACACTAGAAGCCAACTTCAAAAGCATTATCACCAAGAAGTTGCAATGATGTATAGACTAGCACCCTCAAAAAATTCCTAATTAATATTTGTTTGGTATTTATACATCATGACAAATATTGTACATTAATCCATAAAATTACTTTTAATCTTAAATTTTTTCTCCCATTAACATTTTGATCATTGACGTCATTTTTTTTACAAAAAAAATTCTTAGAGACAAATCAAATAAACACTACAAAAAAGTGGTATTTAGCAATAAAAAATCAAATTGCAACTCAAAAAATATATTTGCGATCAATTTAGCAACTAAAAAATGATATCTAAACCACAAGTCATTAATTAA